CGTGACCTGGCTGAAGTCGGACGCTTAACCGACTGCGCCACCCAGGCGCCCCTAAATTTTTTAGGGTTTTTAAAGAAAAAACAAGAGTATAACAGAGACTGCATGGTTCCAAAAGCCTACAATATTTGCCCTTTGGTCCTTTGTAGAAAAAGTTTGTTAACCTTTGATCTATAAAATGATTTTTTCAAAATTGAGATACAATTCATGTACCATAAAATTCACCACATAAAGTGTACAGTTCTGTGGTTTGTAGTGTTTACAGATTTGTGTAATCATCTCTTTCTAATTCCATAATACTTTTATCACCCCCAAAAAGAGACCCTTCACCTCTTAACTTTCATCCCCTCAATCTCCCAGACCCTCCAGCTCTAGGCAGATACAGTCTACCTTGCCTGTTCTGGACATTGCATATAAATTGTGTTATGCAGATGTGGCCTTCAGTGTCTGACTTCTTTCACTGAGCAATATGTTTTTGAGGTTCATCCATATTATAACATGAGTCAGTATTTCATTGCTTTTTATTGGTTTATAATATGTCATTGTATGGGTGATAACGCATTTTTTATCCATTGATCAGCTGATAGATATTTGGGTTATTTATATTTTTGGCTACTATATATAGCATGTGGTTTTATTTATTTATGTATGTATTTGTTTATAGTTTACATCTAAGTTAGCATATAGTGCAACAATGATTTCAGGGGTAGATTCCTTAATGCCCCTTACCCATTTAGCCCATCCCCCCTCCAACAACCCTTCCAGTAACCATCTGTTCTCCATATTTAAGAGTCTCTTATGTTTTGTCCCCCTCCCTGTTTTTATATTATTTTTGCTTCCCTTTACTTGCGTTTATCTGTTATGTGTCTTCAAGTCCTCATATGAGTGAGGTCATATGATATTTGTCTTTCTCTGACTAATTTCGCTTAGCATAAATACCCTCTAGTTCCATCCACGTAGTTGCAAATGGCAGTATTTCATTCTTTTTGATTGCCAAGAAATACTCCATTGTATGTGTGTGTGTGTATATATATATATATACACACATACACACACACCACATCTTCTTTATCCATTCATCCATCAGTGGACATTTGGGCTCTTTCCATACTTTGTCTATTGTTGATAGGGCTGCTATAAACATTGAGGGGCATGTGCCCCTTGGAAACAGTATACCTGTATCCCTTGGATAAATACCTAGTAGTGCAATTGCTGGGTCATAGGGTAGTTCTATTTTTAATTTTTTGAGGAACCTCCATACTGTTTTCCAGAGTGGCTGCACCAGTTTGTATTCCCACCAACAATGCAAAAGAGATCCTCTGTCTCCACATCCTCGCCAACATCTGTTGTTGCCTGAATTGTTAATGTAAGCCATTCTGACAGGTGTGAGGTGGTATCTCATTGTGGTTTTGATTTGTATTTCCC